ACCTGTATGAGCTTATCCCTGGAGGAGGTAACCAACTTAGGACCCTGTTCCAGAGCCTCTGCCCAATCCTCCTCATCCAGAGAAGGAATATCTTCTTTCCATATAGCCCATAATTTCTCAACCTTAGTGGAATTAAGACCAAGCAACATTCTATAGAGGGCAGACAGTGGTTTGTAGAGGTCCTCCTGGGTCAACAGCTCCTCGACAGGGTCCCACTGAAGGATAGGTGGCTGTGGGAATTGGGCCCTGGCAACAGTTGGAAATAACGGAAGAACATCTTCTGCAGGAGACAGAACTTCTGGGAAAGCTAATACCATATCTGGCCAAAAGGTGTGGGTGTGGGATGGAGTGAAAATGAGGGAGTGTAGGATTACCCCAAAGAGGTTCGGCTAGGGAGACATGGTTAGGTTGAAGGAAACATCATCTAGCCAAAATCCAAATTCGTAAAGTAGCCTGCGTCTGTGCAGGAATGGTGTCATACGTCCTACGTCCCCAATAAGGGATATTGTGGAGATCTGCTAAAGATCCCAAGCAGGCAGGCGGGCAGATGGCAGCATTGGACCTAAATTTCCCAAACCACCAGTAAACCAACACCAGCATCGCTGCCCAATAATATATTTGAAAGTTTGGGAGGGCCAAACCCCTCATGTCAGCAGGGAGATGCAAGGTGGATTTTGCATCTATTTCCCTAAAAAAGATGCAGGGATCCAAATTGGGCAATTTCAAAAGAAATAGTTAAACTTAGGCAGGATCATCATTTTCAATAGATTGATACAGCCTATCAAATTTAAGGGAAGAGCTGACCAGGTTCGACACCGCTCTCTCAGAAGGGACAAAAGGGGGAAAGGATTATGGCTAAGGTACTGGGTCACATCTCTAGTCATCTGGATCCCTAAGTAGTGGAATTCCACTACCCAAGAAAGCTGGGTGTCAGCAGCCCCAACATGGGTACTATCGTCTATGGCGAGAAGCAGAGACTAATCACAGTTAATACTTATAACTGAGAATGAACTGTAAAGATCGAAGAGCTCTAGAGTCACGGTGAGCGACGGGCCCGCATCATGCAGATACTGCAGGGCATCATCTGTGTGTAGGGACAGCTTTTCTTCCAGAGCCCCTACTCTCAGCCCCTGAATAGAATGGGATTCCCTAACCAAAATAGCTATAGGCTCCAGCGCCAGGGCAAAAAGGCCAGGGGACAATGGAAAACCCTGCTGGGTCCCATGGTGTAAAGGAAACAGATCAGAAATCCAATCATTAGTGCGGACCCTCGCTTTGGGGGCCCTGTAGAGAAGCTGAACCCAACGAAGATACCTCGGACCAAAGCCAAACAGTCGTATAACTCCCTACAGGTACGTCCACTCCACACAATCAAAAGCCTTTTTGGCATCTGAAAGGATGATTTTCTTTATCCCGTCAGAGACCCCCGGTCTGTGGAGAGATTCCTGGTTTATCAGCAGAATTCTGGGAACACCCCTTGAACACGGAAATAACGGCAGCTTATGTTCAGAGATGTTCAAAGTTTATTAGACATTACTAAGATTTTATAGGATACAGAAAAATAAAGGAGGGGGGAGCGAGTTTCAAAACTGTAACTTGTAAATTTCCATCATGAGCTAACTACATGAAACATGACATATACATTTCTTCTTGGTAAAAATTGTTTTGGCTAACTTTCTGAGAAACAACCAGACAAAGACATTGTCAGGGTCATGTTAGCTTCTGTTGATACATCCTTGAACAACTAAAACAGTTTCATTAAGCTTCTAATATATCTGCAAAAAGCTAACTTAATACTTAAAATGGCGTACATTAACAAAATGGAGGTTATCTAGATCCTTTCAGCATCCAGAGAGGAAGTTACGCCAGGATTGTCATGTTGCAGAGCCAAACTAAAAAAAAGGCGCCATATATTGATATCAGTACCCTTCCCCGGCATAAATACACATGTATCAAATCCTCAATAACTGTGGACAGGCGAGTAGCATGAATTTTCACAAATATCTTGGCATCAACATTAAGCAACGAGATCAGCCGATAGGAGGCACAATCTAATAAATCCTTGCCAGGTTTGGGAACCAAAACAATAATAGCCTCCTCCATGGATGCAGGCAGGGTCTCCAGAGACAGGAGCTCAGCAAAGAGGGAAGTTAATCTAGGAGCCAGATGATCAATAAATTGAGAGTAAAATTCAGTCGGGAGGCCATTCATCCCAGGTGTCTTTTCCAGGTGACTCTCGCCTCCTGCACCTCCTCCAGAGAAATCTCAGCCTCAAGCCGCTCTCTGGCCACAGGAAGGGAAAATTGTCTAGGAAGGCAGTCAGGTCCCCAACAGTGAAGCAAACTGTAGAAGAGTAGAGGGCCTGGTAGTATTCAAGAAAACAGGCATTAAATAGAGCCAGGGAGGAGAGCAAAGCCCTCCCCCTCATCTCAGACACTACCAATGTGGGTGGCGGGGAATTTACCCTTTGCCAACCTTGCCAATAACTTGCCATTTTTATCCCCAAATTCAAAGACCCTCTGGGCTGAAGCCAAAAGAGCCTTCAAAGAATTGTCTTTGGCTCAACTCGGGCTAAAGACAAGTCCCACAGCAATCGACGCCATGCCAGGTAGTGGTCCCGACAGGGGTAATTTGTATAAACAGCCTCCAAAGTTTTGGAGGTATCCTCCAGATGGACCAAGGAGGTGGATATAAATATTTAGAGGTAATAACACCAGGGGTAGTTGATCCAGAGAATATCCAATTGTCTCCTGAAACATTTTTCTCCCACTGGAGCGAATTGGATCATGCTTAATTTATTTTTTTTTTTGCCTTCCTCTGGATCAACTGTGGGTATAGGATTGTGTATATGGGGGTTTTCAAATCTTTCTCTTGTTTGTTAAACTAGATGGGTGAGTGTCTTTTTTTAATCTCAGTATGAACTACTGTATATAACATTCCAATGATGTTATTGTCCAGAGGTATTTCTTTTACAGCATAAGAAATTTTTTTTAAATCCAATGGTTTTTGGAGGTTTGTACAGAACCCCTTTATCAAAGCTTGAGGCTCTTTCACCACCAGCTGCGGAATCCCACTTCAGACGAAAAGACAGCCTAAAGCCGACCATACATAGGTCGAATTCCAAACAAATTTTCCTTTGAATATTGAAAATTTTGTGCGTTTTGTAATGCGATGGTGCCACCATTGATTTCAAAATTTGACCAATCAAGCCTTTAATTTTATGTTGCTACAGAAAGGAAATTTTGTGGCTGAGAATCTTCTTTTCTTTCCAGGTCACAGCTCATGTAGATTTCTTTTTCAGTTATATTTTTCGCATGATTTTCCCATCATTGATGAGAAATAAGTTTAAAAAAAAAAATTTCAACACATCCTATCGTTCAGATTCGATGGCTGCACGATGACTGTTTCTGCAGCCCACTAATGGTGCAAAATTTTAATGAAATTCAAAATTACGATTTTTGAAAGAGAACTTGTTTGGATATTGACCCATGTATGGCCTGCATTACTTCTGATTACTACAAAGTCATTAGAGCCCATGAATTTTCCACATAGCACATTAAGCCCTGATAATAGGCGGGTACTGTACAAACCTCATAAATACTTTCAGGATTTTTTAAATTATAAATTCAATTGTTCTGGACTCTAAAATGTTTGGTGTGGTGATCTGGATTCTTCCAAATTCCTGGATCCCACTCAAGGCTAAACTCCTTCTTTTTCAGAGCTATTGTGCTGTACAAATTAGACTTCATTCTGCCCTGTAAAATGTAAATAACAGACGATCCACTTCCTTTTACACCCTCTGAGACTACCATTAGAGTCACAGTGGTATCCTTTCAGGTTTTGATTAGGCAGGACAGCAGGATTGGGGAGCAGGAACAGATAAACAACTGTAGCCAACTGCAATCTCCAACATTTGTATAGTGAGCTGGTGTGAGGAGTACAATCATACTGGGTCTCTTATCCTCCATCATTCTCTTTTAGGGTAAATTTACACCAGCCACTGCATTATAATGTAGCGGCTGGTTTGTGGTGCAGGCAGGCTGGATGTGCTAATCTCGACACTCTGCTCTGTTCACTTTTTTCAAACAAATTTATTCAAATGTCACCCAGAAATCTCATAAAGTTCATTTGGCCACTGCGCGGTGCAAGGCACTGGCTTGTCTTATGCTGGTTGTGCTGAAAAAAATGTAGGGCCTGCCATTATTTTTTTACCACACACCACCTCAACACAGTGGTGTGAGCTCAACACACAGGAAACAAGTTATCTTGACTTGTCATGCTGTGGAACTGCGCTGGGATAGACGCCCAATGCAGTCCCACTGCATCTGGTGTGAATGGACCCTTAAATAATTGCTTGTCAATAAACTGCCATTATGGCAAGCCTAACCCATCACTAAAGTAGATCTAAAGTTTTTAAACTTCTTTTTATCCTTTGTTGTACCTCAGTGCCGTTGATGTTCTTTGGCCCAATTCAGCCACATGCATTTGTTTGCATACACTAGCATCAGCTCATAGCTTGAACATTGTTTCTTAGAAATGGCTTGCTGATAGAGATAATAGTGGACCTTGCCTGCGAAATGTGTACTGGCATGGCTGCTTTTAGTCTTTATCAGGGGTATATGACCATGGTAAAAAATGCAAGAACACAATTGGGAAAAAGTTGTTGCCACATAACAGGAAGTGCCTGAACAAGGACTTTCATACCATGATCAGCAGGTAATATTCTAATGAAAGCTACACATTTAAATAGACTGAACCATCTTTTGGAATTACATTAACATGTTAAAGCTTTTATGAGATTTTAGTGATTAGGTTTAGATCTAATTTAACTTCCTCCAGGTCTATATCAAGACAACATGAAATACTGCAACAAACAAATCTGGTTATGGCCAGAATCAGTATGTTATGAAAGGTGAATGTGATAAATGCAATCCTGTTACATAGTTTGTGTTTCCTAATTCTTACTTGTGGTATCATTATAATATATGTTTACTTTGCAGGCACGAAACAGCACTCAGTGTGTTGCTACTCAGTTAGAATATGCCGATCAGCAAACTTCGCTGACTTACTTCCCGTGGGCTCAGCCAATTCCAACTCTGCCAACAGCAACTCACTCTATACCCTACCAAGCAACAGCAACCACAATCCAAAGCCCACAGTTTGTCCCAATACCAATTTCTTTACCAGATCCTGTGCCAGAAGAACTGAATCACTCGAGGCAAGCCATCAACAATGTGCCCATTGAAAAATTATTACATGGAGAAGAAGGGAGTGACTCATATGCTCTTAATCATACTCTGTCTATTGAAGGGCTTTAATTGATGTTTCCTGTAAAATTATTAAATAGCTTTTGGTTTGACATTTTCTGATGTCTTATTAGGTAACAGATATATTTTCTATCTGTTATTTTAAGGGTCAGTTTGTCCAAAAGTGATATTTCAGATTTTGGTTGATTCTGGAGAGTTAAACCACCTCACATCCAGGCGCATTGGATGCCTGTATCCTGTGCCGTGTGCTTTGGCTCATTCCTCCAAGTCACTGCTGTGTTTAGTAAAGACATACTGGAGGGCTGGAGAAAGGAACCACAGTACATGGGCAGCGGAAAGAGGGATGCAGTCATCTTATACAGTGTTGAATGCTGACGCTGTGGAATAAATTGATAATAAGCAACTGAAGAGGTAAGTATAGTAGCCCTACTAGTTGTAGGGAACTGGGCTTTCAATGTATTAAAAGTGGCACTTTACCTATAACAACTTGATAAAAAAATAATGTTTTTTTATTGAGAAACAAATACTCCACATTAATAATTATGCTACCAAAATTAGTGTGTTCTGTAAATTGCCTCCAGCATTATTCCTGTTTCTCCTTGCAAGAGCCTGACATTTTGTTGAAGCCCAGAGTCCTGAGCAATCATTAAATTTTTAGGTTGTCAGCAGATTGGCCTCAAATTCAGCACAGTACCTAAAAATAGGGAGCAACTGAGAATGTACAGGGCAGGGTGACACAGTAAATAGGAAAACAAGGGAGGCGCCACTGACTGTAGTATTAGTATGTGGTTTAATACAGCAAAGGTAAGTTGCACTCACAAGAGAATTGAACAGTGATCGCTTGTTGTCAGTGATGCACAGGTACAGTACAGCCCAACATCACAAGGGAAGGAGTCCCGATGTCACGGATGGTGAGGAATGCTTTCACTGAAGTCCCTGCAAGGAAACACTGACTGGTAGTGGAGGAACCAGCGTGGAAGGCATCTGAGGGCAGAAGTGAGATCACCGGATGAGGGCCAATGTTTATGCAGGCAGGCTACGTGCTCTGAGCTCTCTGGCCAGTATAGCAGCTGAGCTTTCTGCTCCTTCTAGTGTTTCTCTCAGACTCAGTCCCTTACTGCAAGCTGGCTGGTGGCTGTTGATCACTGTGCAGTTCAAGCCCTTCTCTTCCCATTCATCAGCAGAGGCAGAGCTGCGCCTGCGTAGGAAGGTAATATCTGACTCTGATGTCTGTGTGAGTGTGACCCGGCCGGCTGGACATCCATCACATGTGCAATGCTGGGCTACTGGGAAGAATTAATCCCTTACAGAAAACAAATAGATCAATTGTGTCAGTAGGGACATATCTGAGAGGCAGAAATTGCTCATTGATTGAGGAACCCCTAGCAACTTCTAGAGGAACCTTAGGTCTCCATGGAACCCTGGTTGAGAAACCCAAGTTCATACCTTTGAAAATGTTTTTGGCCTGTAAAATGAAAACATATGCAGTCACAAAATCTTTAGGTTCCAAGAGGTTTGAATGTTCCTCATACACAATGTACACTTTTCAGTGACTTAGGCAGGGCATAGGTGATGCAATTTTCTTTCCGGTAACCAAGAAAATCGCTTGATTCTCCCATCAATACAGTTAGTGTTGATGGGGGAAATCCCTCCCATGGATCTATTGTGTTTCTCCCGATGGGGTAGGTGGTCACAGGAAGCCATCCCTGCTATGGAAACACAGTGATTACTGCCAGCGGCTATAGCCACTGGCAATAATCGCATGCTAGAAATCTGACATGCTGCTTGTACCCAAGTTGATTGATGGATCACTTGGGTACAATCAGCCTGCCCATTCATGGATTGAATCTCAGCCAGTCCCTGCTGAACCGGTTGAGATTCAAACTTTCTAAGGCTTAACACAAAAGTTTGTTTTTGCATTGTCTTTGTGTTGTTGCTTCATTTTATTGGTGCTTGTAGCTCTTGCAAGTGGTGTATAGCTTAAAGTTTGATATATTGCCTTATATTCAATATGTTCTTTAGTGCATCCACTGTTCTAACATTTGACTAGAAGGCACTGCTACCATCGGAATAGAAGGAACTGTTTAGCACAAAGAGGGCTCTGGAAAATGTACTAAGGTTCCAGGCTGAATCTCACTCACCAGGTTGTTGGTCTTTGGCAATGCAACAGAAATGCTATTCTGATTTAATGATAGCAAGTCACAACAAGCATACCTGTCTCAGGACTGTGCACACACAGATTAACTAAGGTTAAGCACATATTTTTATGGTTGATACTATTTCCAAGTGAACAAACAGTATCTTTGTCCCTCACAGACCTGCACACGATTGTTTAGAAATCACTATACATTTTTGCAATATTTGTTGCAACTATTAAGGTGGATTTTCCCTAATGTCTGTAAATGATTTGTCACTGCAGTAATAAATATCTAGTTATGCCCATAATATGCCTGTTCAAAGTACTTCAGGAAAAATATAGTGGTATTAAGTCCAAAACCAAAAATGTAGTATATTGCAGCTTACCAATCATCAGATTCATTGGCTGCATTAGTTTTCCTTTTTAGGCTTTTTTTTACCTCTGTTTTTACCTTTCGATCTGGCCAGTAACACATCTTCTATATTAGAGTGTCTCCACTCTGGGTGAAGGGACAACAGAGAAACCTTTGAACAGCAACATTACCAGTTTGGGGGGAGGAGGAGTGTTAGATGGACTAGCAGATTTAGATACACTAAACCAATTAAAGCCAATCTCAAGCTAACACTTTTTAAGCAGTCAAAGCAATGAATCTTTTTTTTTCTTAAAGGTTTTACAGAAATACATAAAAGCTGATCATTGTAAGCGCCCCTATCAGTGGACTGAGTCAACTTTTTAACTGCTATGTATTTGCAGGGCAACTTGTTCTGTTGAAAATCAACAGACTTACTGGCAGAACCACCAGGTGAAAATAAAAGAAAAGAAAACCAAAAAAAAGAAAACTAATGCAGCCATCATATCTAAGAATTGGTAAACTGCAATATAATCAATGTTTGTATTTGCATTTCATACATTTAATATAGATGCCCAAAATATTTTCCTGAATTAGTGGTCATATGATGCAATTGGTTCCAAGTTCTCTTCTGGACCAAACAGTGGGGGTGGGGGAAGGTTCCTTCTTTGGGTGTCTACGTCATGCCTGGTGACATGGAAACTTCCCATTGGATGTTTATTGGCAAGCTCCTGAAGACCCAAGTACCAACATGAAAACTTCTGTACTGCTGGAAGAGGTGCTGTAAGGGGGACCCTGAGAGGGAGGCTTGTGGATGGGTTGGTGTTTTGGTGGTAGGGATAGGAGAACAGAAGAGGAGATGGGCTTAAATTTATAATATAATTTATACTTTTTCCCATTGTGTACATGATCAGCAACAATTTGGAGCGAGCCAAATTGCATTGGTAGGGAGGGTGGCGATTTGAAACCTATTATTTTACACAAGAATGTAAGAATGCTTACTACTGTTCGGCAATGTTTTCTGTTGTTGACTGCATGGTGGCCCTGTTGGCCCTGCCACCCTAAGCCGTGGCTTATTTACTATGCAGACATCCAGTCCTGGTGTATCATTTTTCAGAAATGTATGTGCATGATTATATGCCCAATGAAGCTCAGATCCAGCTACATTTTTAACCCCCCACAGTACAGCCAAATTGAATATGCAAATTGGTACACTTTTTCATTACTATATGGCATTGCTTGTATTAAGCTGTAGAAAAGTTCATAATGCAATGGACATGTTGAAATGTACATGCATATATGCACAATTTCAAAAGCCTTGTTTCACTGTAGTCAGTGCACAACCAACATCGGTTTAACCAACTTATCTGGAATATGGAAAAAAAACATTCTAGAATTATTACATTTTGTGAATGAATGCAAAGTAAATAACTTGGTCATAATAATCAATGAATGATATACTGTACAGTATATGCTGTAAATATTCAGATACCATATAGAATATTAAAAACTTACAAAAAAGAATATCTTTTCATTTTTTGAAATGGAGCATATTCCTATTTTAACAATTTAGCTTTATCAAAGACTTTTGCTAGAAATGATTTAAATTCCAGAAATCTTCCACTGGGCAAAGCTGTGTTTTCCATGTGAACAGGTACATTCTTGTGCATGGGTGCACTAACAGGAGAATCATTGCTGGTAGTACTAATGATTTATGGCCCACTTGCTGGGATAACTGAACTCTAGAGACACTATAAAAGGTAATATATTGCAGATGATCAATTCTTAGATATAGTGGCTGCTAAGAACATTTTCAGCAAGTACAGAAAATACCTGTACAAGTGTGGTGTCCGTGTTACCTCCTGTGAGCTGAAAAAAAGCACATATACCCTTATATTACCCTTAACCTTCTAATCCCATCAATTCCTCATGTAAATTAGATAAACAAAGGCAAACATCATTGAAGACCTGTCTGTGTGACAATCATGGTTCTATCCATAGATACAATGGTGAAATGAGGGTGGACAGGAAGTGGGGCTGGATATGGGGGGGGGGTGATGGGGTGGACTGTGTCCCTCCCCCATATTTTACCTGCCCCCCCAAGTTTCTGGGAGTGCATAAGACAATGTGATGTAGACAGTTGATGTAAGGAGGCACCCTGATGGGGACAATCTGTGTAAGGGGGCACTCTGATGGGGGTAACTGGTCATATGTAAGGGGATACTCTGATGGGGGCACCTGATGTAAGGGGGCACTGTGATGGGGATAACTGATCATATGTAATGGGGCACTCTGTTGGGGAAAATAGATGTAAGGGGAGACTCTGATGGGGGCACTGATATAAGGAGGCACCCTGATGGGTATACCTGATGAAAGAAGGCACTCTGATGGAGACCTTGATGTAAGGGTGCAAGCTGATGGTAAACCGATGTAAAGTGGGCCTATGATGAGGACTCCTGATGTAAAGGGGGACTCTGATAGGGACACCTGAAATAGGGGGGCACAGGTTCTATTTAATTATCCTATTCTAATAAAAGCCTAATACATACTAGTGTTTCCCAGGTC